TATTGCAAAAATTGACAGGGAAATTTCCTGGTTGAGTGGGAGTGGCTACATGGATCCAAGACACAAGATAGATGACTAGATGGATCCAGACATCAAGACGAGATCCTTTGGGTACTAGTTGGTTAACACACTTTAACATATGTGTTCAGTCCACACGCTTCCAAGCAGAAACTTACATTACAGTTAATGGATCTTGAAGTGGCATTAGCTGATAGCGGCCTCTATTCATATCTGTGGATCCTAGTAAAAAGCTTTAGGGGACTCAATAGCAGCATTAGTATTACCACTAAAAACATGAGCTTATTGTTTATTTTCTAATTGTATTTCCACAGTAGGTGTTTGGTTGATGTCACAGGTATAGATGCCTGTCTCTTTTGTATTACTGTGATAATATTTAATCACTTAGCTTTATTTTTGGAAATGTATATAGTTAATAACCTCTCCTTTATCCCAATCTCCTATCTCTTGGTGTCTATCTTTACACGTTACAGAACAAAATCACAAGTTGCAGAAATAATTAAGAGCTTCAAAGGTGAGGTAAAAAAAATGCTCCGCCATTCTGAAGCATCTGCTATAGTAGAGTATGCGTACAATGATAAAGCCATTCTGGAGCAAAGGAACATGTTAACAGAAGAGCTCTATGGAAACACATTCCAAATTTACAAGGTAATGTTTGGTACTTCATCCACTTCTCGTCTATGATATTGTATTCATGCTGCTGTTGTATCATCTTTTATCTGCTACTCTTAAATTAATTTATGTCCTGTAGCATGGTCCGACTATACACTTGTTTCTTATGTTTCAGATTAATGCTTAACAGCACATTTCCTTTATATGTTAGTAGGGTTTTGCTTTCATTTAACTTGAGTTGGGATTTTTCAAAAGGTCATAAATCAATTGGCCACCCAAATCTCTCTGGCTCCTTTTGAAAGTCTCATCCCTTGCTGACTTGACTGTCTTCCATAAAAGATTTGGTGTTGAATAGGATGATGGGGAAGTGGCAAAAGTAATTTTTTAACTTGGCCAATGAGCCACGTTAAATTATATAACTTATAAATTAACCTGGAGTGGGGAAAGTCAACAATAAACTAGCTAAGCATTTAGAAAATAACATTTGAGAGATGGCTTCCTGATGCGAGATATTAGGTCTATAAAGAAAAAATTACCATTTGTATTTAGTACTCTGATACATTCAAATTTAGGAATAACTTGTCTTCTGAGCCAATAGGATTTATTTTCTCTTAAGTCACTTTATTTGTGATACTAAAATCTTTTGCGTCATTGTCAGAAATGTGCATACTTTCCCCTGGCTATGCATTCATAATGGTAGCTGGAAGTACCCTAAGGCTGTGTCTAGACTGGCCAGTTTTTCCAGAAAATCAGCCACTTTTCCGGAAAAACTTGCCAGCTGTCTACACTAGCTGCTTGAATTTCTGCAAAATACTGACGATCTCATGTAAGATTGTCAGTGTTCTTGCGGAAATACTATGCTGTTCCCGTTCGGGCAAAAGTCTTTTTGCGCAATACTTTTGTGCAAAAGGGCCAGTGTAGACAGCTGAGATTTGTTTTGCGCAAAAAAGCCCCGATCACGAAAATGGCGACCGGGGCTTTTTTTGCGCAAAAGCGCATCTAGATTGGCCACAGACGCTTTTCCACGTGTTTTGCGGAAAAGCATCTGTGCCAATCTAGATGCTCTTTTCTGAAAATGCTTTTAATGGAAAACTTTTCCGTTAAAAGCATTTCTGGAAAATCATGCCAGTCTAGACGTAGCCAGCAGGTATAAATTAAATATGCAGTATACTTTTTTGTAATTCTCCCCTCCTCGAATTGCCTGTGCAACATTTGCAAGTGCGTGCTTTAGTGTGAAATGAGTATTTTTTACTTTGTCTTCAAATTGCAGTAACTATTATCTTTGTCCTATTGTGGAAACAAAATTAATAAATATTTGTATTAGAGAAGAAGCATTGAATGAAGTGTCATAGAAAAAAGGCTTATTAGGAATTCTGATGTTTCCATACTTAAGAGTGTGGGAGTCAGTTCTCTCTACAAATATCAGATTTAACAGTGACCAAAGAATTATTTTTTTTTCTGACGTCCAGAATCCTAATTTTGCAAAAACTGAATGCTTCAGAGCTTTGTTTTTTTTTTTTTTTTTTAACGAATTGTACCATAATCCTTAAAGACTTCCAGCTCTCTTGTTTCTTCATTTTAATGAGATACTGGTTGATAGAATGTTCCTACTTATCAGCTGGCTCTTCTAAGAGCAGCTTCTCTTGAAATAGTTACTAGTCTTAATTGATGGACTGGACCCCAAAAGGGGCTCAATATATGTACTTAACTGAATCAAAGGCAACATTCTATCTTATTTCCCCATGTGATTCCTGGCAATGTTATGAATATCTGGGAGTATGTGTTGTTAAAGACTTATCCAGAGTGTAAAAGTATAGATCAATTTGTTTTTGTTTAATTTGTATACATTTGTTTAATTTTAAATTATAACTGTGTTTTACATCTTTAAAATGGTGTAACTTAATTTTGTTTAAACATAAAACTAAGTTGAGGTATGAAGGTTGTTGCATATAATGTGTGATGATTTTCGGATAAATGATGAAGAAAACATTTATTTAGAACCTGAAAAGCAGTACTTGTAACTAAACCTGGTGTGGGATATTTTCATTTCAGTCCCCAGTTCACTCTACACTGGACAAAGTGTTAGAGGCTCATCCTGAAAAGCAAGAGGCCATTATGGATGAAATGAAACAGATTCTTACTCCAATGGCACAAAAGTAAGGACAAAAGTAGCTTTCTGAAAACAAGACACGACAATGGGCAAATGAGGGTGTGTGTCAGTATCGCGGTTAAACTGTAAAAGGTTGTTTTGTTTGACTGTAATTCCACCCACTAGGAATTCTAAATAACTGTGGAATATTTCCTCACATATTAAACTAGTAGTTTAATTCAGATGATTTGTGTAGTTCTTATTAAAAACTGTATAAATACCAAGTATATTATACTATAGCTTTTTTGAAAAAGTAGCAACCTACAGAATTAAACAGCCTGATATTTCATTATAAAGGAGAATTGGACAGACTGATCCAGTGGTTTGTTGGAAAAATATCCTGTTAGGTGTGCAAAAGTGTAGTTCTTGATTGACTCCTCCGTGCTTTATAAAATAACTCTTTTTGTTGTTGCCCCTAAGAGCATTTTGTCTGACATGTAGTTGATGTCTCATTAGGAATGCTCGTTGCAGTTTCTCTTTCACACTATGACTGTACTTCCTGAATTGGAAGAGCATCCTGATATTTTCACCATAATATGGCAGACAACTGGAAGAGACAGTCAGACCATAGGAATTAAAGTATATGTGATTGTCTTGTCTTTCCTCCCCCTTTCTCCTCCCCCTTTTATACAGAGAGGCTGTGATAAAGCATTCACTGGTACATAAAGTATTTTTGGACTTTATCATCCATGCTCTCCCAAAACAAAGATCTGTAAGTATTTCTACACTTCTGTACTTAAGTATACTGTACTTACAACAATTTTAATGAACTCACGGTAGAGTTTTTTAAGATGCCTCAGATAGTGAATGAGGTAGGATGTTCAACACACATGTTTCTTCTGGGTTTTTTGCATGCTGTGTTTAGGTTTCCTGAAGTAGCAGTTCTGTAGCTCTACTTTCTAAAACACCATGGCCCTGACTCTTGAGAATTGTAGACCCAAAACAAAACCCCCAAAGTTATTATACATTTAAGATTGTAGTGATAAGCCCCTTTATCTTGCTTTAGAAAATAAGCTCCTTGTTTGAGATTGTTGATAGGATATCTTCAGTTTTCCTTAGTTTTAGGGTATGTGTAAAACACTCGAAGAATTCAAGTAATAATTACAAAAAATGCTATTTAGGAATTTTGGTAGGACAAGAGTATTTCTTGTTACCTCATTATTACTCATATATCTAGTTAACTTGAAGTCCCTTCGTGTAAGTCAACTTTGTCATCTTGATTGGAAGTTTCTCAATACCTGTGGAGATTGTAAGAGGTAAAGACGTATGTCTGTAATGCATACTAATTTAATGTTTGTAATTGTGGTGGTCCTGTGATAAGAGACAGAGCGTGCATCCACGTAGCACCCTAGATCTGAAATAAGATACGCAATTTGCACTATGCAAATTGCGTATCTTATTTTGAATTTAATTTCAAAATAGATTATTTTGAAATTTGGCACATCTGCACAGCACCAAATTTTGAAATAACACACTATTTTGAGACATCTCTTAATCCTCACGGAACGAGGGTTACGGGGATGCCAAAATAGTGCACCCATTATTTCGAAAAATATTTCAAAATACGGACTGCTTGTGAAGATGCAAGGTAGCTATTTCGGGATATTGCCAGTATCCCAAAATAGCCATGCAGAGTAGATGTAATCAGAGAGAGAAAGTGGAAGAGGCAATAATTTTGAATGGACCAACTTCTGTGGGTGAAAGAGAAAAGCTTTCAAGCTACACAGTGTAGTATGAAATTTTGTGTCTTTCACCTACAGAAGTTGGTCCTTTTAAAATATACCTCAACCAATATGTGTCTCTAATTTCATGGTTACTGTGTATTCTCACAATAAAACAATATTTTGTCCCATTGTGTTTTATCAAACGTTTTCAGTATGGTTGCACAATTAAAAAACAGTTCCCATAATTGCAATGAATGTCTTTTTTGAAAACATGCGGTGATTCTTTAACTGTCTGTCGAAAAGTTACTTACAGTGGTGGTTCCCTGATAGTGACAATAGATCTTGATTCTACTTCTGCAGTCTGGCAAAGACTTTTTATAGGTGCTGGAGCAGAGTCATACTGTGTAAATGGCTACTTGCCCACCCATCCTTTGAACTTTCTTACACCACCTGTACCAAGATGTTTATATTCTTGACTTACGACCCTACAGAGCTTCTGACGCATTAACACCTTTCCAGTCACCAGTGTTTGTGATTACAGTTTTGAGACGGGGAGTATAAGCATATATCTACACTGCATCGACACAGCTAAGGTGCTTCAGCAGTGCCACTATAGTGGAGAGGCTTGCTATATCAATAAAAATGTTTTTTTTCCAATGATTTAGGTAAACCGTCTCCAGGAAATAACTAGATAGATTGAAGAATTCTTCTGTCAGCCTCTTTGACAGTGGAATTAAATGAAACAAACTATGTTGCACTGGGCTCAACATTTTTCACAACCGTGAACTGTGTAGCTTGGTTGACTTAACTTTTACGTTTAGACTGCTAGGCCAAAATTTTGTTTATGGCTTTAGGACTCCTGATGTCAATTGCATAGTACATCTGAATACAAGAGTGTGGTTCTAGGCGCAATAATAGTCTTCAGATTTTTACAGGTAAAATATGTACCTTTCCTCTAAAACTCTTCCAAACAAATGTATCCCTTAATTATGTTTTCTACCTCAGGAAATGATTGAAGCAATCAGAGAAGCAGTCATCTACCTGGCACATACACATGATGGAGCCCGAGTAGCCATGCATGCTTTATGGCATGGTACACCCAAGGTACAGTATGCACGTTAGCTTACTCGGCTCTGTTCCATAGGTTGTAAGTTGGCTCTGCTGTCACAGGCACAAAGAAAATCAAAGTTTCCGAAGATTGTTGTGTGGTGTTTTTTCAGTGATCTTTGCAATAATGTAATTACTCCATAGATTACTTTGTCAGAGTATGCGTGAAAATGGGACAAACATGTCCCAAATTAGCAAATTTAGTCTCATTTTGAGAGTGGGGATCACAGGGCTTCACAGGTGATTAATCAGCCCTGCCCAGTCATAGGCTCCTGACTTTGTGTGTGGACATGACTGACCAAGTGGCATTGACTAATCACCTGTGAAGCTGTGCTTCCTCTCAGCTTAGAGAGAACACTGGTGGAGATGGTCACAGTTTTTTTTTTACAATAGAAAAATACGAGGGGGCAGGCGGGAGGGAGTCTGTACAGAGGCTGCTCTGCTTTAGGTGTTGGGAGTGTCAGGAGCACTTGCAGAAATAACATACAGCCTTCAATGTAAGGGTATGTCTACGCAGCTGGAAGTGTGCTTTCCAGCATTAGTAACTGAGCATACACTAGCTCTGCCTGAGTTAGTACACTGAAATAGAAGTGCAGCTGCAGCGGCTAAAACTAACCTTCCAAGTATACAAGTCCAGTTCACCACCCAGGTCCATATTTGGATGGTTAGCCTGAGATATTGCTATGGCTACATTGGTCTTTTTAGTGTGCTATCTGCCAGAAAGCATGCTCCCAGCTGCTATGCACACATACCTTAAGTGGGGAATCAAAATAAGTGAAATATATTTTTAAGTAGGCTTGAAGTGGAATGATGAAGGGGCAGGGCAGTGGCTAAAGGGGCCAAAAATGAAGGCCAGTGAGGAAGCCTGTTAATGGAGATGCTCCTAGCGAAGCCCCTTCAGAACAGAGCCTTTTTTGATGTATAGTTTAGGAGCCTTGCTGAGCAGGTGTCTGTCCTAGACGAGAAGTCGAAGTACAGGTTAGACCTCCCTGGTCCAGCACCCTCAGAACCTGAGTCGTCCTGGACCAGAGAATTTGCTGGACCAGGGAAGGTCAATGCTTCCCTGCTGGCTGCCTCTCCCCTGGGGGCTCACATGGCTGTGGCTCCCTGCGCTGCCACTGCCCTGCTAAAACTGCCCAGGGCCAACGCTCCCTGCCTTGCTACCCGTTGGGGTTCCCCAGCCAGGGCAACCTGGGTGTTGCCAGCCTTGCAATTGCTGCTGTGGTCCAACCCCACGGCTGCTGAAGGTTTCCTGGGGTTCCCCGGCCACTACTAGCCCCGCTACCAGGGGCTCTCCAGCTGCCTGACCTCACTAACACTGGGGTTCCCTGGCAGGGGGGAGGATCCCCGATGTTGCCTGTCCCCACTGATGGTAGGGTTCCCCCGCTGGGGCTGGGACTCCCCGGCTGCCACTTGGCCCTGCTGCCGGGATTCCCTAGCTCCTGAGCCGCTGCATGGCCTTTTTGCCACCAGGGGTTTCCTGGTCAGGGCTGCCTGACCACTGACACTAGGGTTCTCTGGCTGGGGGGAGGCTCCCCAATGTTGCTTGGCCCCGCTGATGCCAGGGTTCCCCTTTCTAGCTGCTGCTGGCCCAGCCGGAACGCCGTAAACCCCACGTTCTCTCAGCTGGCTCCTGCTCCTGAGGCTCTTTGGTCCAGCAACATCTGTGCTGGATCAGAGAGTCCCGGATTTGGGAGGCTCAACCTATACTTGAGGTAAGAGTTTCCTCTTGTGTACTGTAGCAGTTATGCCACAATAAGGGGTTGGCAGACTTTCTCCTGTACACAGCAGGAAATCGGAAGCTAGGCAGTGTCCATTAGACATGCAATCCTTACCTTTACAACATGTGTAATGTGATAACAGCTGTTATTTCTCAGTTCTCCTCCAGCCATCCCAATCTTGCAGAAAACCCTAGGGGTTTCTCTTTTGTGCTGAGTCTTGTCATAGAATCTGTGTCTAACATTTCAGTCTATTACAAAAGTAATGCTTATTATAATATTTTCTGCTTTTTAAGAAATGAGCTGAAATTAAACTCAAAGGTATAAATAGCAATTTAGTTATTAAATCGTTGACAAAGGCTTACTAATGTTTCTCCCCCTTTTTTTGGATAGGACAGAAAAGTAATTGTGAAAACCATGAAGACCTATATTGAAAAAATAGCTACTGTGAGTATTTATAAATCTTGTATTAAAGTAATCACTGAAGCATTTTCATAACTGTCAAATCATTCCCTATTTACAAAATATGAATTTGACTTTACTCTGAAGTTAGAACAATCTGTGAAACTGCCATTTTGATAGAAAACTTAGACATAAAATACTGATATTTAACTGTAGAAAATGTTAATATACATTTTTGTGGAAAGAGCCTTGTGAGAATGAAAAGCCCACTAGCTGGGGTTGCACTAGTAAAACATCTTACAAATACTTAGTATGTTCTGTTTCCTGCTTCAAGGCCAGTTGCTGAACGTATATTATATTTCTAAATACTCAGAGAAACAAGATGGGAAACTAACATTGATACTGACTATCCATATCATAATGTCAAAAAATAAATAAATGTGGAAATTATAATTGTCCCACTATCTTTCAGTTATAGTATTTGTAGGTATAACTCACAAAAATAAGTTGTTGTTTTTTTAACGTCAAATAGAAGTGTCTGTTTGACAAATGGGGCACATTGATGGAATTGGACTGTAATCTTTGAGGAATTAGACATAGGTATCGTGGGTAAATCATTGATACCTGCTTGCACAGTGCACATTGGCATTCTAAATGGTAAATAATATTATGAACTGTATTAAGAAGGAAGTAGAGAATACCAAAGCTACAGCGATACCTCATATTGCAGGGAGTCTTGGTTGCCGCCTCTTTAAGTAATAGAATAATTATAAATCTAGCACAGTACCCTGTCTTCCAACAGTGGCCACTGCTGGATGCTTCAGAGGGAACAAGCAAAACAGAGTAATTATCACATGATTTGTCCCGTGTCATCCAGTTACAACATTTGGCAATCAGAGGCATAGAGACACCCAGAGTTGAGGCAGTTCCATCCATGGCTGCTAATAAAGATGCTCAGGGATTCTATCGCCCATGAATGAACTAATATAATTCTTTATTGAACTCAGTTATAGTTTGGTCTTTACAGCATCCCTGGCAACAAGTTCCACACATTGACTCTGAATTGTGTGAAGTTCTTCCTTTTGTTTCTTCTAAACCAGCTGCCTCTTAATTCCATTGGTTGACCCCAGGTTCACTTTTTTCGTTTTTTACATCCCTATTCCCAATTAGGCATCTCATTTCCAAGATGACCAGTTCCAATGTTTATAATCTTTCCTCATATGAAAGTTGTTCCATATCCTTAATAATTTTTTTTGCCCTTTTGTACTTTTTCCATTTCTAATGCATCTATTTTGAGATGGGGTGACCCAAACAACACACAGTACTCAAGGTGTGGCTGTTAAATTGCTATTAATCAACTAGTCAATGGAATTTCCATCAATTACTCAATTAGATGGGGGGAGGTATGCGTGATAGCTACCCCTTCTGCGGCTCTGCCTTTTAATGACAGGCTCTTACTGCATTTAAAAGGCAGAGCCACAGTATTCCAGAGCTGGCATGAATCAGGACTGCTTATTCCTGGCTCACCTTGGGAGCTAACCTCACTGCACCTCTGCCTTTTTAAATGGTAGTAAGAGCTGCCTGGCTCTTGCTACATTTTAAAAGGCAGCACTGCAGTAGTTGGGGATCCGGAGTGATCAGGGACTTCTTCAGTCCCCTTTTGCGCCAGGTCCCGCGCTTTGCCTCTGCCTTTTAAATGTAGTGAGACTTGGGTAACTTATTACATTTAAAAGGCAGAGCTGCAGCACCACTGCGACTCTGCCTCCTCTGTCCCCCCCCCTTGCACCGTGGAGACGGGGGTAATGCGAGTAGTCAACTTGACTACCTGATTAGCCTAGGCCCTAGGCTTATCGGGTAGTCAACTATTCAACTACTCTTTTACATCCTTAGGATGTACCATGGATTTATATAGGGGTAGGCAGTAGCCTCCTGTGGGCCATATGCTGTTCACAAAGGTTAGCCCCTAGTGGACCACTACTGCTTTATTTACTTGCACCTCCACAGGTGCAGGCACTTGCAGCCAGCAAGTGCTGTGGATCGCCGTTCCTGGCCAATGGGAGCTGTGGGAAGCTGAAGTACCATAATGTTTAATGTCATCTTATCCTCCTTTCCTAATGGTTGCTAACACTTTTGGCTTTTTAAAAAATATTTATTTATTTTCACTGCTGTTGCACATTCAGCAGATGTTTTCAGAGTATTATCTGCAATTACTCCAAGTTGCTTCTTGAGTGGCAATTGCTGATTTAGACCCCATCATTTTGTATGTATAGTTTGGATTATGTTTTCTAATGGGCATTACTTTGCATTTATCACTGCAAGCTTCCTCTACATTTTGTTGCCAAGTCAGCCAGTTTTGTGAGATCCCTTTGTTACTTACTGTTTACGATTTGCTTTGAACTTAACTATTTTGAGTAATTTAGTTTCATCTGCAAATGTTACCACCCAGCTTTTTACTCTTTCTCCAGATCATTTATGAATATTTTAAACAGCACTGGGTCCCAGTATACAGGGCCATCCCTAGAAGGGAACAGGGCCCAGGGCAACCCCTGCCTCCTGCAGACATGGCCCTGCTGCTTCCCCCAAACCCTGGCCCTGCTCCAACCCTTTTCTCCCCCTGCATGATGTAAACTGGGGGATTACCAGGCAGGGAACCCCTCCCACATTCACCGCTCTGCTGGGAACTGGAGTGGTCCAACAGCCTGCCCTACCCCACTCTGCTGCCCTCTCCTGGCCCACTGCACCTTGCTTCTTCACAGTGGCAGAGGAAGGTGGAGCTCCTTGGGGTGGGGTGCTCTACTTCCTGCTGCTGACAGGCATAAAGAAAATTAATAGCATGGAATAACTGCCAGAGCCTGCAGGTCCCACCAACAGCCAGGACACTGAGCAAACCAGGAGGCTACAGCTGACTGACAACAGAAATCCTACAGGGGGCTGGGATGCTACAGGTGAACAAGCGGGGACTGACCCACCATCTTTGCTTACCCGCTTCCCTATGGCAATAGGGGAAGAGGGAGTTATGAGAGGACTGGGTACTAGGGACTGATCCAGCATTTTGGCACACCGGCTTCCCTGTCCTTTATTATGCAGCGTGGCAGGAGTGGGGGGATGCAACTAGTCGATAGTGCTAATTGCTAAGTTCCTGTTTATCGGTTAGTCAACTAGACGCTTATATCCCTATCATTGGCATCCGTCAGAGTTGGATCTTGCCTTTATCCTTTAGGTTTGGATTTAACTAAGACTTGCCCTCCAAAAATCTGGTGAAAGATGTTGACTCTAAGGTAAATCTGCTGAAGAAAGAAGATTTTACTTTTTATTCTATAAAGCAAATCTTTGGCCTCAAATTGATGAGTATTCATGGAATCCAGTTGGCAATTATTGACAGTGCAGCATGTTGCACAGCTGTCTACCCAGGGAAATTCAGCAGTTTAGAGACAGCTCCACTCTTTATCACTTTTGTTTTAAACAAATGTTTTTATTAAACATTGCCTCCAGAAAATAATTACATGTTATAGGACCACTTCAGCCAGGCATTGGAGGAAATCATTCATCAGATCTTGGTGCAGTTTTTCACAATTTGGGCAAGTATTCATCACAGGAAATGTGTATGTAGGGCAGCATCATCTCTCTAAACCTTGTTGATCCTTTGCCTTTACAGGGTGAATTCTCTTACTTGGTCTTGCTGGCAGCATTTGATTGCATTGATGATACCAAACTTATGAAACAATTAATCATATCTGTAAGTAGTTGAATTTTCCTAAAATATTATATTAAATGTCACCAGTGCAACTAATAAGAGCTCATTCAGACTTAGGAATCTAGTATATAACTTCTAGCCAGGTTTTGAAGCTATTGTTTGTCCAGAGTTCTCTCTATCTTTTATTTCAATGTATACAGTAACTATTATGAATGTTTATGTAATTTATATTGCCATTGCTATAGTCTTCAAACTAGGTCTAAAATCTGCTGAAAACCCTAGCCTAATTTTCAGTGGTTATACATTTACAAAAATAAATGTCTTTTTTAACATCCTTAGTGCATATTGAAAGATAACATTAAGTCCTGGGAGTTTCTCATAGTGACTGAGATTTATATTAAACTGCCAAAAGATGTTAAAGAAACCTGGCCCAAACACATGGTGGTGTTTATTTTGAGCAAAGAAAATTCAACTACTATGTGCAGGTGATCAAAACATTAATTTAAGATAATTAAAGCTCATGAGCATTACCAATTTAGAAAGTCAAACTAGCTGTACAGAGGGTAAGGAAAGAAGGAAATAGAAACATAAGATTATCAATTAGAACTAAAAATCCTTGACATGTAAAAGTCAAACTTAAAATTGGCTAAAAATATTAGTTTCAGGGCAAATGCACCTATATTCCTGTTCTGCAGCCCACTAAGAGCAACCAACTTTATGCTTTCACCTCCCAGTTACCACCTCTTTTAGGTGGCAGTGTGTATTGCACTGTTTCTGACATGAGACTGCACAGTTCCCTGCCTTACAATATAATGTCCTCAGCCATTCAGAGCAGCCCCTGTCTGCGATGGACCTGAGCACATCACAGGCAAGGGCTATTCCAACCAAGATGAAGCAGCCTCTGCCTGCAGCCCTTCCTTTTAATTGGCTACTGATTTAAATGTGACATTTAACCAATTAAACAGGCTTTTATAACCCTATTCTATTCCTAAGGAAGAGAAATGTCAGGGAAAACATTAAAACAATAAACACACCTCCAAATGTGGAAAAGCTTACCAGATATCATTCCAGACTCCAGTCTTGGACTCTGGTAGGTTTCAGTCCTTCAGAACCTACAATTGGCTTTTCCTTTGGTTACAAGTTCATCTCTCTCAGGCTATGTTTACACTGGGAAAGTTTGGCAACAAGTCCTGTTGACATGCAAAAGTCGCCAAAAGTGAAAACCGGTCAAACCAATTTTTCTGCCTCCCATTGTCAACATTTCATGCCTATATTGCCAGCACCCTGTCAACAGAGCAAAGCAATGTGGGTAACCAACCCACACAAGGGTGGAGTTTCAGGAGAGAAGAGGGGGACAGCAGCTGTGCGTACCAGGACATGGCTTGCTTTTCTTCTCCTTTCCCAGACTATCAGGGAGCAAGGGGAAAATACTTGCATTCCATGCATGCCTCTCTCTCCTGGTTGATGAAGGGAGAGGGCAAAGAAGTAAATCATGGTAAACTTGCTCCCTGATAGTCTGGGGAGCGGGAAGTAAAGCTAGCCACATCCCAGTGCACATGGCTGCTGCCTCTACTCCCTGCCTTCCCAAGACTCTGCTCTTGATCCCACACTGCAGTGTTGTGGGAAGGCAGAGCTAAACCCTGCACTTCTTGGGATTCCCTCATGGTTCTGTGAGGTCTCCAAGCTGAGGAATGTTGAAGGAGCACAGCAGTCTCTGCTGCTGTGTGACTAGTGCAGGGCAGAACAGTGATAGAAATGTAGCCGTGTTAGTCTGGGGTAGTTGAAGCAAAATGCAGGACAATGTAGCACTTTAAAGACTAACAAGATGGTTTATTAGATGATGAGCTTTCAGAAGTACTTCAAACAGCAGTTCACTCAGTTGTCAGATACTTCCTGGAGCTTTGAAAGAGGGATGGGCGCATGCCTGCAATGCAGCAGAGATCACAAAACGCTGAAGCCATTAGGACAGACATTGTGGGATAGTGGCAGAAGCCAGTTCTCTTGACAAAACAAACAGCAGAGTTCTCACTGGCTCTTTGTTGGCAAAGGGAGGGGAAAACACAAAAATCTCTAGCAGAGTTGAAAGTGTTTTGTCGCCAAAATGGAATGTTTTTCCCAACAAAAGTCGTATTGCAGTGTATATGCATTCACTTTTTGTTGCAAAAAGGCAGTTTTTGGTGAAAAAACATGCCACTGTAGACAAACTTTTAGATCTAGAACTGAGACTGGGCAGATTTAGCTCTTTCTTTACATGGTTTGGACATTTGATCTTGGCTTTATGTAATAGGCAATCAGCTGAAAACTCTGTCCTCAGTACATAGCTTCAAAAGGCTAAAACCTAATGCTAAATCTGGATTGCAATTGTTAATTGGTTTGTTGTTCTCACTGTTCCTTATTTAGTTGAAATATTTATGTATAATTGTTTCTTCAGGGCTAGACATAAGTCTGGACTTAAGAAGATTTGACTAAAAAAGCTACAGCTGTTCACGGTGGTAGTAGACACAAAGTCTATATCTAGTCTCTTAAATACAGTAGAGTCCCTATCAGCCGACACATGGTCGGATTACCGAATATGTCATGATAGGGACTGCTGCCGGGGAAGAAGTGGCCCCGGCAGGAGCCCCATCAGCTGCTCCTAGAGAGCACGGGGACAGCTGCTGCTGCTGCTGCTGCTGCTGCTGCTGTCAGGGAAGAAGCAACCCCGGCAGGAGACGCATCAGCGACTCCAGGGCACAGGACGGGAGAATGGCCCCACTCGCTGCCCTGTTGTCCTGGGCAGAAGCAGCAGCAGCTGCTCCAAGAGAGCGATGGGGCAGCAAGCGGGGCCATTATCCCCGCCCGCGCTTTATCCGACCCTGCAGCTCCTGGAGCTGCAGGGTTGGATAAAGCGGAGTGTCGGATTACCAGGAGTCGGATAATCCGGACTCCACCGTACTGAAATATGCAAAATGTTGGCAATGAGAAATTACACTATTGTATGAATGTCACATGCACAGCACATCAGAATTACTGCCAATTAAGGCAAACCAAGTACTTAAAAACCCACTGTAGCTGTCATTTGAAACCGTTGATTTAATAATAAGGTATCTTGATGGTCATATTGACTTAACATAATAAAGACATTGTATTTATCATGAGTCTGAATTCGACATGCATTACTTAAGTGTTCAAGTTTTGTTCAATGAAACAAAAGCAAAACCCTAGTTTTTTTTTTAAAATAGTTTCTTCATTTGAGAATTTTGTGGCAAAATGATTTGATCGTATTATGAATATCACATACAAACAATAGTGTTTGAGTCTCATCCCTAACCCCAGTGAGAAGAAAATACAGCCGCTCCCCGAGTTGCAAATGGTCGAGTTACGACTGTTCCCACTTATGACCAAAGCTCCCATGGAGCGGTTGTAAAGGCTGTCCCCGAGTTACGAACACGACCCGTGCTTATGAACAGCGCGGTCGCGTGTAACTCAGTGGGGTCCTAGTTACGAACAGCTCGAGTTACGGCCAAGTGTTTGGTCCGTAACTCGTTCGTAACTCGGAGAGAGGCTGTACACATTTTATTGCATAGAGAATAATTAAGAATAAGGCCTGAAGTGAGAAGACTACAGAAATGAAAAGCACTAATCCAGAAGCCAGTGCAAGATAAATACTTAGGATATCCTAAAGCAGTGTGTGTAAAATGTAAACATTTTTCCACTCTGCAACATTTTACCTGGTTTTGTGCATTTTTTTCATTTTATGTAATAACAAGAGCTTTGCTGTTTTCTGCCCAGCCTACCATCTACAAAGCATAATCTTTATTAGCATGTTTTTTGTAGACAAAGGGTGAAGAGATACTGGTTCATTTGTTCATTTCATCTTTTACCAGCTGTTAGAAGGATTTCTTTGCTGGAAACAAGGGATTTTAAGGGATTTTAAAAAGCAGAAGGTTTACTTTAAAATATGCTGAAATTGCCCAGAGCTTCATAATACCATCTCTTGTTTCAGAAAATATAATTGAAATGTGCATTAATATTGACCAAAATTTTTCTGCAATAGTTCTTGAAAATTCTTTGGCTAATGTACATCATATTGCCAGCTAAAACAAAATCTGTACACATAAAGCAGGAAGAACAGAACATGAGCACAAAGAAAATGTACTATTGATAATAGATACTGCTTTATGAATATATAGACACTCTTCAATAAGCAAAACAAAAAATCCTGGCATATTGATTAGTTTCTTCATCACTCTTCTAAGGACACAAGTGCATGGTGTACCAGAATTCTTGTTTACATAATGATTTTTCCTAGCCAGCCATTAATCCCTTGGAAATGCCTACTGTATTTGTTAATGTTCAAGTAAGCTACAAGTGACAATGGTTATCCTTTCAGCAGAAATGAGGCTTACTTTATTACTTAGAATTAATGGTTGCTGCTGGATGTTCTCTGCTTAACTGAATTCAGGATAACTTCTTTGTTGTCTTCCCCATCTTCAACTGTGCTCTGTGAGCTGGTTTCTGCACATATGCACAATTGGTTAATAATCACATCTGATTGCTTTTGCAGTGTACTAGTGTGTTTCCTTCCATCTTTTGTCTGTTGGTATTGTAACTTCTTTGGCGTGCGGTCTGTTTCTTCTGGGTTTGTACAGCACCTCACCCACTGGGGCCTTGGTTTCAGGGCATCTCAGTACAATGGTAATACAAAGAATAATTTGTGCTTCTGTTGTATCTTCCGTCCAAGGATGTCAGAACATTTTACCATCATAGATTTAATATAAAAACTAAGCACTTGTTTAGCACTCAATATTGACAAACCCCACCTAAACATTATACACTGCTTAGGGGTTTGATTTGTGTTGCATAACTATGAAGTATGGTACCCATCTCCGCTTTTCTCAGATTTCAGTGTGAAAGTATTCAGTCCAGGCTTAATGTTGAAAAATATTTTTCATCATTGTGTTATTGATGTTTATGCATATTTACAGGAAATAAGTGGTTCTTTGCCCAATATTATAAACAACAAATATGGAAGGAAGGTTCTGTTGTACTTGCTAAGTCCAAGGGATCCTGCACACTTCCTACCAGAGATTGTCAAACTTCTGCAACAGGGAGATGGAAATGCATACAGGTAATTCAACTGACAGGCTGAAACAATCTCCACAGATTTTTCCTACTCCAGCTTTTTAAACAGGACAGCTCTGTAATATCAAATAAAAATCAAAACATCACAAACAATCCAAAATCAAAATAAATGTATGTACACTACCTGATGAAAATGGTAACAGTTGTGGTATAATTTTTGTGTAGATATATACTTAATATATGCACATAGTGATTGTATTTTGGTTGCAGTAGTATTACAACTGTACAGAGGAGGAAGACAGATTTTCTCCTGTTTAAGTTTGATCAGATTGAAGCCTTTTTTAATATCCATTATTGGTACAAAATTGTACAAGAGAAATCTTGAAATCAGTAAAAATTGAATATTTTAGTTCTAATTCAACTTCTACAATGGTCTAATTTAGATAATTTTAAAGCAGCGGAACTTGATTTTTTTTGGTTAATTAATGCATTACTTATCTATAGCTGTTTGTGCATAGGCTTCAGTTCTTTGTGATGCCTTATTGGAGACAGTAATAAACCAATGTAGCAGGCCCAAGATACACTGTGGGATTTAGAAGGGTATTTTGTAGTTCTCTTAATTCAACTGGTACTGATGTTTAAATACTGAAGAGATGGCAGTTTCACAAGGATCTGGAAACTGTTTGTTTACTTGGTCCCTGTCAGAGCTTTGAGGTGGTGATGATGGTAGGACAAAAAATTAAAATGGAAGGGTGGAATTGGCTTTGCAGCAAAAACTAACTTTTTTGGTGTGGTACAGGGCAGTCACCTTGAAGTTAAAGACTACAGTGACATGTGATTATGGTTATCAAAAGACCATATTAAACTAGATTCCCTGTAGAATACAGAACAGGGACTGGCTTTTTTAATTTGACCTTTTAATGAGGACAACATCTGTCTAAATAGCAAACATGGATTAAATTTGTTTTTACTTGATCTTTTATACAAAACAAGTTTTCTGCAATAATCAGACCATTGTATTGTTTATGCTATTTCACCAGTAAAAAAGATTCAGATGTTCGTCGCTGTGAACTTTTAGAAGCCATTTCCCCAGCCTTGTTAGGTTATCTGCAAGAACATGCCCAAGAAGTGGTGATGGACAAGGCGACGTGTGTGTTGGTGGCTGATATTTTAGGGTCTGCTCTTGGTGATGTCCAGCCTGCCATGAATGCTATTGCTAGTTTGGCAGCAGAGGAGCTGGTTCCAGGTGGCAAAGATGGGCAGGTAGGTACCGCATCTAACACAAGGCAAGCAGTACGGATATTGCAGTTAATTTGTTTCCATTGTATCATAAGATTTATTACTCTTACCTAACATATGTTTAACTGACTGTACTCTGAAATTTTCCCTGTTAATGGGAAACTGCATTTTATGTCCATGTCTTGTGTTACTGCATTTGAAATAATTAAACTTGACTAAGCATTTCATAGGTTTCTCAGACTTGGTTGCTTAGTTCTTTGTGGTCTTCAGTGTGCCAGACTAGTGTGTAAAAAGTCTTTCTGTAAGAGTGGATTTACACTTTTTGTGGGTTACAGAGGACGATGGCAAATTTATATTATTTACAATCTCTGGAGTAGTTATAGTAGCAGTTAGATGAGACTATAGTAAAATTCCAATTGTCCGGCATCCAGTGGTCCGGCACTCCTGATAGTCCGGCACCAACTGGAACCTGGAAGTGCTCCGGCCAGCTGGACAAGTGGAGCTGCTCTGCCCCTGGCTTCCCCAAGTCCGCTGCTGGTCAGTTTCAGCAGCGGTGGAGTAGGGGAAGCCCTAGGGCAGAGCACCCCAGCTGCTCTGCCCCTGGCTTCCCCAAGTCCAGTGCTGTTGAAACTGACCAGTGGCTGACTTAGGGAAGCTGGGGTGCTGCCAGGTTGGTCCCACAGCGCCGCCCTCTCCCACGCTGCGCAGTTCCCCGCTGAGCCCGCCCCCCTCCCCTTGACCCCTCATAGCCTCCCTTCCGGTACTCCGGTACTGTATAAGGAATTGCTGCTCACAGTGAAGATATTATCTTTGTGAGGGAGCTAAGTGGGTGTGAGCTAGTAAATAAGCATACACGTGCACACAGGAAAATCCCAAAATCCAACTACTTTACTTTTTGACAAGGAAAGAAGGTTTGATTCCTGTAACAATTTATTGTAATATTGCTAAATTCATCAGTAAGCTACAGTAGGACTGTGCCTTCAGACATGCATGTATGGTTTCCACAGCTATGTGGGACTCCAGGAAGAGCTGGGATCTAAAAATATCCCAACATTAAAGCTTCATTGATTAAAACCCTCAGTCACAATGCACAACCACCTCAATAGACCCCTCAGTCACAATGCAAATGCCATCCTCACTATTCTGTATAACTGGGGAAGCATTTGCAGTCCTCATTCCCTCTCTTATTTGAATGTTTAGCCAAATTGCTCTCATTTGGTTCCCCAAGTTGGACTGATTTTGGGAAAGCAAAGATACCACATTATCCAGATTGTAAAGCTACATGCGATCCATGTATTTGTGGTATCCCATTGAAAACCCACGCTTCATCTTCCCCAGAGTTTTTGCATGGCTCAGCACAGGGAGCTGGACTTGGTGACCTTAATTTCACTTGCATCTGTACATTTCTACAATTCTGTGAATATGAGCTGTGAGATACTTGATTACTTGCAAACCTCTGTTGGACATGGAGACACATTTGTTTAATGATTAGGGATGGAGAGCTGTTTTAAAACTTTTGTCTGTTCCAAACTGAACTAGAATCAGCTTTATAAAAGTTCAGGACCACCAGGTTTCCCTGTTTTCTGACATCCAGACTGCTACCAGAGCACCTGGTCAGCTTACTTTTCCTTGTCTCCCAACCCATATCTCTGAAATCTATGCTAGACTTCCATGTGAATCTCTTACATATACTAGCAAGCTCTGGACTTCTTTTAATGTGTCAGCTTATGAAAATTTGGACGAGTCACAGACTTGTGTAGAGGCAGATAGGCCAGGAAACTACACTTCCATGTTAATGGGAAGCTGAATGTATGTTTGCTGGTCAGGAGAGAGGGCTGGCTGGTGAGGACCAGAGGATGTAGTCTGTGCACTGAGACTCTGAAATGGGTCAAACCTTTGTCAGTTAATGTTTGAGTAAACATCCAAACACTTGCATTCTCATCTGTTTTGAAAATGTTGGTATTTGCTTATGGCTAATAATGATCAAATGGCACAATATAATGTGGTGTAGGGAGGAAGCGTATGTTAGAATCTTTTTTATAAAATCATCTGACAATGCATGTTGTGTTTTTTAAAGTGTAAATACACCAATTCATGTGTGAAAGATGGCTAAGTCTGTCATTGGTTTGTTTAAAGCTTCACATCGCAGAACATCCAGCAGGCCATCTGGTTCTGAAATGGTTAATTGAGCAAGATGAAAAAATGAGAGGAGATGGAAGAGACGGTAGGTTGGGAAATTTATCTCTAATAGCACATTTGTCAGATTTCAGCACAATTAAACTTATGTAGGTTCAAAAAGAAAAGATTGTTATATAGGTTTTTACACCTCTCAGATTTGTAAAAGGTGGTCAATAGGCAATAAATGGTTTAAATGTACTTTAGATGTAAATAAAATGTATTTTTTGTTTCTGTGTAGTTGTGAAGTATTGGAGGCTAAGCTCACTTTTTTTCAGATACATAAAATCTCAGATGTACTTTTCTGGTATCAAGAGAATATTCTATTCCTTTGCAATTTCACTTAATACATTTTAGTGTGCCAGAGCTATCTAGCATTTAAAAATGTAGGCAACAGCGAAGATTGCATCTCTCTAAATAAGAGTTGGTTTCATTCCAGTTTATGAATATTGTGATTGCCAGCTAAGCAGAATTGTAATTATTAGAGCGTATTTGTTTCTGCTGTTGCATTACCACTTTGATTACAAAATTTCACCTCAAATATAGAACGTGTGCTATTTTATGGCTCCAATGTTGTCATCCAGAATGTAGTATTCAAAAGAATGAATTCAGCTTTTTGTTATGGAGCAACAAAATGTAACATTATGTGAATTTTTTTCAACCTGACCTAAGATGTCTTTCTACCATCCTAGTAAAATAATCTTTTAATTCAAAACTTGCATATCTGCTATATTTTTGAGAGAGTTTGTCTGAGTGAGCAAGTCCGTCCATCCATCTGTTCAAGAACTCCTCCTAAATGGTAAGAATTAGGACCACCAACTTAGGTATACAGTTTCCTCTTATCATAATTTAAAGCAAGGTAAGGGTTTAGTTGTCTTCAAACAGCTGCAAGCCTGAGAGGAGGGACTAAGGGAGGGAGGAAGCTTTGCATGCTGCCCTCACCCCCAGTGCAATCCCATTGACTGATTTCCGAACAATGGGAGCTACCTGTTTGAAGAACAGGAAGCCATGCAAAGTACTCCTTCCTCTCCCCTGAGACTCACAGCTATTCACAGATGCACATGGCCCGTGCCATGGCCAGGCAGACAGGGAGCCTGCTTGAGAAAAATCCTGGGCTACTTGCCCGGTAAGTCTTCCAGACCGAACCTGCCTCTGGCACCCCAAACCCTCCCTTCCCCCAACCCTGTGCCCCCTTACCTTACACAAACCAAAACCTTTCCCCGCCTCCACACCCATACCCAACTCAAAACTGTGCACCCCAGTCCCCTGCCCCAGGTCACAACCCTGCCTTCTTTACCCAGCCTCCCTCTCATACCCCAAACCTCCTCCATTAATATCACCAAATTTTTGGAGTCTCCTCCCCTTCCCCCCCTCCCCCAGATATCAAAAATTATAGCCCAACCTGGTTTGGGAGGAGTTCTTGAACAAATGGACTCATGGATGGACAGACAGATACATTATCTTCTTACTATATATTTTAGAAATGTTCATTTTTTATTAAAGTTTATTGGAACATTTTTGAAAAGATGACAATGTATAGGTTTCGACTAAACTTAAAAAAATGAGAAAATGTGCACACTAACCTCTCAGGTTTCCAATCCATAAGCTAGTGCAGACTGAAAACAAATTTCAAAAGTTGCTTAAAAGCTGGCTTCCCCCCTCACCCCCTCAGCACCGTCTCTGCAAGGCAAGGGGCAGGAAAAGCAGAGGCACAGCAGGGAACTGGCACGAGCGGGGACTGAAGCAGTTCCCACTGTCCGCCGCAAACGGGCTGCTGGACTTATTGCTAGCCAGGACTGGCTCACGGGGGCTCTGCATTTTAAATGTAGAAAGAGCCATGGGACTCTTACTACATTTAAAATGTAGAGTTTCCACATGGATGGCTTCCACAGCTACCCCCACTGCGGCTCTGCAAAGCGGTCTTATTGACTAATCATATTGTTGATACAAAATGTATCGATTATAAGGTTAGCTCAGTAACCACAATTTAACATCCTTACTTTTTTTTGCATTAATTATGTTGGCCTATGTTTAATATTTTTTTGGAGGGGAGAGGGTGTCTCGCTGTAGTTCTGATATCCATTCTCTATCAGAATTTGGGCTGGCACAGTTTTCATTCCTTATTAGACTTGAATTAGAACTTTTATCACTTCCCTCATTCAAATGTTCAAGGGGGGGAATTTTGTGTGAATATCTTATCTGCCAACCTAATTTAGATAATAGATAGTTGTCTTGTCCTTACTGCACAGTTCTGCTCTGTAATGTGACTTTAAAATGGAGTTCTCAGTTGTTACCAGATCAGATTTGATAGTTTTACAAATTAAGTTTTTTTTTCTAAAGGCTATCTATGCAAACTCAGCCTGGGATCTGAAAGTCACTCTGCATTCATTCCTTCTCACACATCACCATTTGTAATTGTTCTGCAAAACCAGTTGTGCCATCAGCGACGTGTGTGAACTTCATTATTCCAGTGGAGTTGAACAGAGACTTGTAACTGGAATATATTTAAATAATTATGTTGGCAATGCATGAGAAGGAATAGAGCCTTCAGACTTCCAGGTGCCCTATCACTAGGGCTAAGAGCTGCAAAACTTGAAGATGATTGATCACAAAAGTAAGAAGCAATGATTGAATGCACCCAGGAAGCAGATCCTTTCAGTAACAAGGCACCTTTTTTACCAAGTTCCTTTTCGATATAGAAGTATGCTTCTAAACATGAATTATTTTAGGAACTCTGTTAAACAAATAGTATGTCTGTTGTAAACAATTGTGTGTCTGTTTTTATACCAGTGAGTTTTCATACAATTCAGTGTTGCTGTTGTGTAATTAGTTATAAGCATTGATTAAAATTAGTCTCACATTTGGGGAAGGTATTGACTATATTGAATAGTCAGTTATTTTGAGAGTAAGCAAGGACTTCTAAATATAGAGTGAATTAAAGAGTGTGATTAAAAACACTGCTGCAGAGAACTGTTAAATAGGCAACATCGAGTAATTTTACCTCATTCTTTTCCCCCTCTTAATAGGATGTTTTGCAAGAACGTTGGTGAATTGTGTCGGCATTGACAATATGAAGTCCTGGGCAGAAGTAAATCGAGGTGCCATTGTTCTTTGTTGGTATGTAGGACACATGTCTGTTTCTAATTAGGTCTCCGTGCTAAATTCTTATACTGAGAGAGTCATTCAAGTTTTCAGCCAAAATAAGCCAGTTTTCATGCACTTATGTACTTGCCTTTAAATATGGTGTTTACAAGCATGCTGTAGAGAATAGCATTTGGCACTAGTTCCCTGGGTTCAGGCTTGGGTACTGCTATAATATAGTTCTGTGCTGAAAAAGCCTTCTAGAGATTGAAAAACTTATTTATTTCTAACACTGTCCACCAATATCCCTACCAAATGTATAAAAATCCTGAAACAGTATGCCACTATATCCTAAATATGTTTTGTTCTTGGCTGTATCTGTGTTGAAACGCAGCAAACAGGTATTCGGGTATATTTTGTAAAATGTTATTCAGTTTGTCTATTATACAGGCTCTCTTTCAGGACCTTTCCTGTGGTATTGGAGTTTTATGTATGTGTTATACTTCCTGAGCCTGGAGAGCAAAGTGGTTCCTAGAATAAGATATGCAAAAGTGTATTATGTGCCAACCTGCTCTCTGTAATGAGTTTCAAAGCTCACTGTCTTCCTCACCTCCCCAGGATGAGACTATCACACCAAGCACTTTACTTTGCTTATTAATACATTTGTTGGCATTTAGTAAATGGTTGTCAGTTTTCAGTGTAGTATCAGGTAAATCTGGACTTAATAAATCCTAAACATCTAATCTGTGAGGCTTCAAAATTCTCAGTTCAGCAGAGATCACAAAATTACCTTATTAGCTTTTCATAAGTATCTGACAGAACTGAGTCAGACACACCTAACTGTGTGTAAGTGGGCAACATATCCCTTGTAAATAATTTAAAAAAAAATCATTTAGTTGAATTTGTCTCTTTGATTTCTGGCTCTAATTCCAGTTGCTTTAGGATAAGGATAGTCAAACTGATTGTGTAGATAATGAGAAACCATTTAAGTGATGGAAAATATAATTATTGTGCTTCAAGTTCAGTTTTAATTCTGTTTTGCAAACATCAGTACAGTTGCTGTTGATGGGAATTGGCATGTAATATACTATTTGCATACAGGCTGATTTGGTAAACTCTGCATTGTTTGAATTTGAATTTTTGCGTCTCCCCTCCCCCCCCCCTTAACTTTTATAAACGACCTCTAATGTTTGATGAGCACACTTTTAATTCATTTAAATTCTTTAATTCTGCATGCAGATTTCAATAGAGTGATTTGTACATTGACAATGTTGTTACTTAACACTTTCCTTTAACTTAGGACTTTGAGATTTGTTTAAAAGATATCTCTTCCTTGATGTCTTTGGTGGTTTTCTTTTTATATGTATGCTTTGTTGAATTAGTTTCATTCTATAAATTAGAAGAAATTAATGTCTGTGCATTCAATAAATTAATGTCTATCTTCATCCTTCACATTTTAATGATGAAACTTAAAAAAAAAACCTGTCCTGTAGAGACTAATAAAAATATATATATGGTATCATGATTATGGCTAAGAGGTTGTCGTGGATATTTTTAGTAAAAGTCAGGAATGGGTCTCACAGACCATTTAAAAAAAATCACAGAAGACTGTGACCGGTCCCTGACTTTTTAGTTTACAAAAAAAAAAAAAAAAAAGTACCCATGATAAAATGGCACGGGAGTACCTCCACCACCCATAGGTACTTAGGGCTCCAGGGTCCCCCTGATCCTTCCCCATCGGGGTGGGGAACTGAAGTGTCTCCTGCTCCTTCTCCCCCTCCTCACCAGCCTCCCACTTCCCCCCGGCAGCCAGAGAGCTGCAGAGTACCCCTGCTGCCTTTCTTCCAATTCCCACTGAAAACTAACAAGACTTGTCATTAGCATTAAGAGAAACTGGATAAATCAAAGGATTTGTAATGCTATGGAACCATTTAATTGCTAGATCACCAGTTCAGGACAGTAGTGACTGAAACATTCCTTGATTTGTAGTTTCAGTTTATTTCCTAGTAGATCAGCATCCACCCCTCAAACCTCATAACCGTTAGTGCTTTCTGTGTCATGCTTGTTTGTAATCTCATTAGTGAGACCTAGGATAGAATGTCAGTGGAGACCTTAGTTGCCCCTACAGCCAGTCATTTGGGTCATGATTGAAGAAGGACCTTTTTGTCGTTCCCGTCTCCCCGAGACAGCTTGCAGGGTAGGAGGTCGCTGCAGGAGGGGGCAATCCCTGGAGCCATGCCCAGTGGTGGAGGCCACTGGAGGGGACGGCAGCCCCTGGAGCCTGATCCCTCAGCTCCAAAACAGCCTGAAGACTGTGTAGGGGGTGAGCAGCTGGAGGGTGCTGTAGCCCTCGGAGTGCAGCCTCCTCCTCAGACACCCTGCAGGCTGGGTGTGTGTGTGGGGGAGAGTAGGTGGCAGCCTCCAGAGCCCCCACCCCAGACAGCCTGCAAGCCACGGGGGAGGATAACTGGAGGGACCCTGCTGATAGGTGAGTGCAGTCCCATCCCCATGAGAGGTGTCACTGCTGGAGCAGCACCACTCTCACCACAATGAGTGACCCCATAAGCCCAACCTTCCCACCTCTCAGACCCCTGTTGTGAGCTACCTGCCTTGACTTCAGCTCCCCCTGCACTGATCTCCCTCCTGCTTTCCTCACCTGAGCACCCCCACACCTCCTAACTCTCTGTCCCTCTTCACCTCTGAACTATCACTCTAGCCTCCATTTCCCTTCCTTTTTGAAAAACACAGTCATTGAAATAACACATGTTTATTTTTTGTTTATTTTTCACACACAAAATTCCTTCATTTACAGATGGGAGCAACACTGGGTACATCTGCTAGTTAATTATAACTTTCAGGTTTTTATCAGCTCTTCATTTTTTTATTTTTCTGTTATGTAGGTTGCTCAGAGCAACTTCATAATCTTTTTTCCCTCCCTTTCTTGTGTGGCACTCATTTAACTTCCGTCCTGTGTAGTAATTAATCTTATCCATGCTTAATTGCATGCTTTTACTTTAAAGATGCTGCCTAAATTATTCATCAGTGTTGAACTCAAAGAATACTTTAATCAGATACTGGTAATGACTGCAATATTTTTTACATAAAGTATTTCAAATGTTATTGAAATACAAAAAAACAAAACAAAGATGTACCTGTAAAAGATGCCACTGATCTCTCTGTCAGTTTCTTCTTTTGCTAGTAAGGAGCCCAATGGCTGTAGGATTTTACCTGTCTTTTGTTTGTTCCTGTTTTAAAAGTGCCATTTCTGCCTGCAGAAGTTGATTTTTGTCTATTTTTTGATGCTTTATAGCAGCATCCATTCACATGCCTATATAAATCTCTGCTTTATCAATCCAACTCCTTGAAGGTCTTGGCTTTGGTATTTATAAAAGCTTAACCTTCTGTCCTATTCTATGACTCTAATCACCATAACACATACTGAATACTTGTGATATTTTTGTTATCCTTGATGAACTGTTTTTTATAATGGAAAATCAGAGACCTCCTGGTTCTTGATCACACACTGGTGTAAACTAAGAGTAACTCTAGTGTAAATGGAGTTACTTGAGTGTTCAGCTAGTTTAAGATCAGAGTCTAGTTCTCTTGTGCAGATAGGAGGTGCGCCCTGCTATCAACAACTTGCTCAGAATTAAAATTACATGGAACCACTAAATGAATGACACTATTCTCTAAAATTGTATATTTAGCCATCACCATGGTATTTAAATGCCTGATAATCTAGGCAGGAGGTTACATCCAGCATTGAGGCATAATGAAAAAATGTGTATCAACAAATCTGTATATTATATAGAGAAAATACATACCTCTTTATCAAGTAAGAGGTCTTACAAGTCAGAGGACAGCATGTATTTTTTTTCCCTTTTTAAAATACTTCACTGGAAGTATTCAGCAATAATTCTCTTTAAACACTATAGGAACTTGACATTTCTTCCCAGTGTATTAATTCAAAAAGCTTTCAAAACTTGGCCTGGGTAAATGGTTAATTTTTTTTTTAAATGAGAAATTTGTAAGTACTGTAGTAGTCCAGCGTGGATTACACTGTAATATGCTCTTTGTCCCAAATGGTAAACCATACCAATTTCTCCTTGCTATTCACTCTATAGAACAGACCTGGGCAAAATACCCTCCATGGGCCACGTACGGCCCTCCAAACCACCGGATCCTCCCACGGACAGAGTGGGGCGCCTCTGGCAAATTCCTTGCTTGTTCCACCCTGCCCTGCATGCAGCTCAGAAAAGTGGCTGCCAGCCATTTGTGTTTCACAGCTGTGCAGAGGGAGAGGGGGAAGGGGTTTCATGAGCGGCCTCTGCCCCCAGCACAATCCAGTCCAGTTTCTAGCCAATAGGAACTGCTTGTTTGAAGAACAAGCAGAGTGCAAAGCACCACTCCTCCCCTCCCCCCAGCTATTATTAATGATACATATGAACCCCTGTAGCCGTGGTGGGAGGCTGCCTGAGAAATGTGCTGAACTGTTGGCTGGGAGTCATCCTGGTAAGTCTCCCAGCTAGAGCCTACCTATGGCACCCCAGCTCCTCCCTCCATCCACCCTACTGCCCCCCCTGTTTCCCTACCCCACATAACCCTAACCCTCTACCCCCTTCATGAGCCCATACTCCCTCCCAGATCTTGCACCCCAGTCTCCTTCCCTGGGTCATAACCCAAACCCCTGTAATCCAATCCATTGTCCCAGGTCACAGTCCCTTCCAGCCCTATGTCACAATCCAAATCCCTGCACCCCTCCTACCCCCTAGTCCCAGGCCTCAAGTCCCAACTGCCTTCTTCACCCAAACTCCCTCCCAGACCCCACAAGCCCTCCTGCACCCCAAGCTCCCTTCTGCACCCAGCCTCCATCCCAGACCCTGCATCGCCTCCATTAACATCGTGGAAGAGTGCGGTCTGTGACCACTTTCCAAAATCTGGGAATGCCCCTCCC